AGGAAAGGAAACCCAGTGCAATTTCCCCAGTCTTCTGCCAAACCTGATCCAGCACCTAATCCCATGCCCGACAGAAGAAAGATCTACGGCTGCTTTTAAAACGCATCAGAAAACAGCTTTTTGAACAGAACCAGAGGACAATAACCAAACTTGCGCTCCGAATGCAAAGCTTAAAAAACTCAAAATTAAAGACAGAAACTTCTTTTGTGAGTGCACCACAGCTCCCTGAACTAACCCACAGGCAAGCCTGAAAGGACTGCTGAGCGTGGTCCCTCTGAGCTTCTCATCACCGCTGCGGCTGCTTTTAAGTCTGACTTGTGAGGAAAACAAGGGAGGGAAGCATGTTTGTCCTCCAGTGGAACACAATCACAAGGTTTGGGACCCGAGGGCTTCTCTGTGCTATTCGCAGTTATTACCTGGGTCAGAGGAGAATAAAGAACCTGGGAGAATAACCAGTCCTTTATCTCAGGCGCAAATGGGTTAAAATGCAACAAAGTAATATAAAGGCTATGCTGCCTCAGAAAAAGACACTATTTTGTTCTCTTTAAACTTTGTTTTGAGCTCTTTAAGGCATGTTATTATTTGCTTAAATCCGATTCCATGATAAATTTTGTTGCTTAGCACCCATTCATTCTCTCGTCACCCATGCGCACCTAGTCATAACCTGAATATACCTAAACTCCAAGTATATGATGAAAAGTGAAATACTCAAAGATTTTCTGGAAGTTTCAAGTTACTGAGATGTTAGTGGCTTGTGGGTCAAACATTTGAGAAGACAGATCTATGCTTCGCCTTTCTCCTGGATGCTCTGAGGTGGAGCCTCAAGAGAGACAATGGCCTCTCATTGGAAGAACACACGTGCGTGAGCACATATGCAAAAAGTTGTTTATGCCCATATTTCTGCATGCATATTAATGTACATAGATATTCAGTCCCCATAACAGAGTAGTACATAACAATATTTTAATATTGATGAATAAGTACTTTTTTTGAAAAAATTATCCTTTAGAACTCAGAACCAAAAGTGTCCTATTAGCAACAAACAGAAAGCCATAGATGGCATACTATGATCTGAGAAAACACACTTTTAAATTAATTTGAAAGGATCATGTGACCATAGTTTTATATAAACTGTAATCTTCTCCCCTTGTTATTAGTATAAGTTTATTAAGATATGGATATTCAGCCTGGCTGGTGTGGCTCAGTGGTTGAGCACCGACACATGAACAAGGAGGTCACGGGTTCGATCCCCAGTCAGGGCACATGCCTGGGTTGTGGGCTCAATTCCCAGTAGGGGATGTACAGGAGGCAGACAATTGATGTTTCTCTCTCATAGATGTTTTCATCTCTATCCTTCTCCTTCCCTCTCGCTCTCTAAAAAATATCAATTAAAAATAGATATGAATATTCAGTATTATCTGAAGCCCATTTAGGATTTTTCTCTCAGTTGTATGTAATTTATGACTCAAAAAAAGACAACACAAAACACCAAAACATTGCCCTTATTAATACAAAGCAACTTTCTTTTAAATTTTCCCCATTAATCATTCTGGTTTCAAATGTAGATTATGTACATCCATACTTCTAATATGTAGAATACATGAAATCACCTCAAAATATGCAGCTTTTCACTCTGCTTTAGATATTCCTATTTAAGAAGTAAATCACATATCTTTTAATGATGAAAACCAAAGCTTTCTAAAGATACAGCAAGGTTATTTTAGTAAAACAACACACCATTTATCCCATAAGTTACAAAGAGAAAATAAGAACCCTGATATATTTTGGATCTAAATAATTGCAAACATATTACCTTTTATTTCACCAAAGTTCCCTGATCCCATTGCAAGAAGCTTGTCTTTCCAGTCCTTTGATAGTAGCTTTTCAATACTGGGAGTTTCTAAGTAGAGAAGAAAAAAAATATATAAGCAAATCAACATGACTATCTTTACAATGGAGCTCATTAAAAGCCTATCTGCTAAAAATAAGGCCGTCCCTATCCCAGCCCCAGTTCATAATGACTTCATCAACAAAATGATAACAGGGGAGGAAAAAAAGAATGTGTTTTGTCACCTGCTGTTTCAAAATCATTAGCTTTTTCCTCTTGCAGAACAAAGCCCTTCTAATTCTTTATGACAATGGGTACATATAAACCTGCAGTTCATTGTTTTTCAATTTGGTGGATAAATTCCTGCTATAATGGGTGCTTGTCAATTTTAGGGTGTTAGTCTGCAGTCAAAAAAATAATTATGTTGATAAAATGCAGAGTAAAAAAAAGGCAAAGAATTAGCTCTTAAATCTGCTACATGTAATTATATCCCTCTGTGTGTTTACAATTACATCCACTTTATAATATGTGTTTAACATCGTGTGGTGGTAAGCACACTGTGGAAAGATTTGCTGCGAACATTCAAAAAAAAGTTGGTACAAAGGAAGCTTTACAAAGATTGCAAAATCTAGAGAAGTGAGTAATGCCTTTCATGGACACTTATTATTTACTTATTTCAGATTGGTGTCACACTCGTTTTAAAATGCCCTGTATTGGGACAGGGCACACATATTTTAGAGAGCAAAGTTATGCTTCCCTCTGGTATTTGTTTCTAAATACCGCATGGTTTTGACCTCTCCTTTGTGTCTGGATTTTAATGCATAAGTAAATATAGATGCTAATAAAGTCCCCAAACATGAAACTCCGTTCCAAACAATGTAATTGCATGTTCTTGTCAGCATTTAGATGGGTACACAATGACAATGGCTTTCAATCCCGCGATTAGCACTGCATTCAGTTAGAAAATGGAGTGTACTGAAAGATAAGTGTCCCAGTATGTGCCATCTAAATAACAATATCCACACTTATTATCTAGATCTAAGATGTACACTGCCATTCTCCCCATTGGTGTGCATGTGTATTTGTGTTTGTGCAGACAGTTGTCTACCCCCTACTAGCAGCATAAAGGGAGTACACGTTAACTTATCAAAGGAACCATCTGGCCTAGAGACCATAAGATTATTAGAAACTGGTTAATTTTCCCCACATCAAATGCATTTTAAGGTACCTGCATCCTCCTCTTTAGCTAATGCTACCTACTTTTTTAAAGGCCGTGATCTTATAGCCTTCAGCTGTATCACAAAGCCTGTGTAAAGATGTCTTTTTTTAAAAAAAAAATACTTTTATTGATTTCAGAGAGGAAGGGAGAGGGAGAAAGAGATAGAAACATGGAACACCAATGATGAGAGAGCAACATTGATTGGCCGCCTCCTGCATGCCCCACACAGGGAATCTAGCCTACAACCCAGGCACATGCCCTGATCAGGAATTGAACTGTAACCTTCTGGTTCATAGGTCGACGCTCAACCATTGAGCCATGCCACCAGGCTTGTATGGAGTTTTCAACCAAGTGAAGGTGAAATTTTCTTTGGAATAACTGTAACAATCTGGAATGCTTTGTTTTCAGATGTCAAAAAATTGTGAAAAGTAAAATGGTGAAAAATGTGTGAAGTATTACTGCTTTTTATAGTCTGTATGTATGGTGAAAATTATATACATGTATACACACATATTATATATCAAAACTATTGTGTGCATATTTACCTATAGAATGTGTGAAAATACTTATTTTCCTTTGTAACAAAAGATATTTCCATTTTTTTTCACATTTAAGAAAAAGATCCTAAAGAATTTACTTTTTCTTAAAATACCCTTTTTATGAAGTGGTAATGACAATTATATGAGCAATAACATGGATTAAATATACTCTTACTGTATTCAATATTTCTGCTTATTGAGGCTTGAAAGGTAACTTTAAATACTTCTGCAAAGATTTCCACTGTTTCTCCATTCCCAGTAAACACTTCATGAGTGAAATTATTTGTTAAACCTTATCAGAGTAGGTCAAACAAACACCACTGTTTCTTTTTTCTAGCACTCCACAAAAATTCTTGAGAAGCATGTAAACAGGGCACAGCCAATATGGTATTTGCAATAGAGCACTGTCAGTCATTAAAAGCTAACAAACCTTTG